TAATAATAATAATAATAATAATAATAATAATAATAATAATAATAATAATCCCCTTAGTAAAAACCCTCGTCAGTTAAATGGTTTTTAATTAAATGCTTCTGTAATACTCCACAAACCACTAGAGGGCGGCCGCGGCTAAGGCAAACCCTGTGACTGATTCCCGTAAACAAGCCTGTTCTGTGGCCCACAGCCCTGGTGTGGATTCTCACTCAGTGGCCCTGCGGTCACAATACAACTGCCCACAGGGGTTCCAAGGCTGCAAATCTTTACAGAAACAGATTGCTTTGTCTTTCTCATAAAAAACAGCTGGGGGATGGAAATGCTGACCTTTCATTTCAACTTAGAGATTCTTGAATAAAAAACATTGAAGAAGAATCAATGTCTGAATTTTGCTAGTGAAGAGTACTGAGTATCTATCTCAAGGGCTGCCATCAGAACAAACAAATCTGTCCTAAAGGAAGGGGAAGACGAGAGCGCTGCATAGAGGCAGCGATGGAGACATGTCGTCTTTCTTACATATTCTCAGGAGGAACCAGCTCTTGGAGAGCAACATGAGGCTGGGAAAGGTGAGGGTCAGCGGAGAGAGGAAGCGCTTCAGCGAGATGGACTGCCACAGTGGGCTTGAGCACATCAGAGATCAGGAGGACAGTGCAGGACAGGGCGGGTGCAGATCTGTTACTCAAACATCACCGAGTCATAGTTGACTTGGCGGCACCTAACAACCAAAGTGTTTTCTGCTCTCTGAATTGCTCGAAATATTTCTAGGAAAAAATATATCCTTTACTAAGCTCATCCTTAAACAGAAACATAGAAAAGTCTTAAGAAAACAAATTCTCGTATGGGGGTGGGGGAGGGAATATCAGAATAGTTTCATTTAGACAAAAATAAAGTTGAGAATGACAGCAAATCAGGTGGGCGTGGCTGGGCTGCAAAAGCGGGTCCAAATCCCCCATCACTGCCAGATCCCTGATAAAGGATACGTGAAGGTTCTCTCTCCTATCATTTTGAAGTAGATGCTGCAGTATGTTTTAATAGTGCCACAATCTTCTGGAAGTTTATATCCATACTGAAAATGAAGTACAAAGTTTAAATCACCTTGTAGGTAAAGCATACTTAGATAACCAGAAACAAACTTGAATAACTCCTGAGGAGGTGTGGGCCTCCTTCACTCACCAGGTCATCCCAGTGCATCTGGAAGTCTCTGTAGGAGTGCAAAGGGCAGTCAGGGGGTGTGGTGTGAAGAAAACTTAGTATCTGTCCCATCTTCATGCTGTGAAAAAGAAGAGCTCTAGATCATGGTATCGTTTACTTGAGCCAATGCTTAAGTATAGTTTGATGAGTTAACTAGGTGACTGACTCAGACACAGGGTTCAAAGCTATCTCACTACCTACACTTCAGTGAGAAATTAACCATGTGCTCCTGTTCTAAAACACAAATGTAAGTTAAACTCAACAACTGAAACTTTTAGGGGAATGTAAATTGAGTTAGAAATTATAAAGTAAAAAAAATCAATAGCCATCAAGATGAGGAAAAAAGGACAATAACTAAGAAAATGGCACCACACCAAGATATGCCTCAAGGCTGTTGACCTTCAGCAAAGGCTGTGAAGTGTGAACTATCCAATCAAACTGACATTCCCCTTGTACTTCATCTCTGCTCAATATTCAAGAAGGCAAGTAAGTCAACCTCTTTTTTTAAGCAGAACAGAATTTCATCCCAACAATGCTTTTTATATCAATATCAAGCCTTTCCGCCTGAAGACAGTACAAACTGAAAACTCAGTTTTTCTTATATTGTGTCAGACCACCGACTATTAGGCATAAATGGATAAGGTTTTGTTGCTGTTACTGTAATAGTGGTAATTTTATAATGAGAACGCTGCTACTTTAAATTGGATATTTTTAAAAGATGTAAACATGCATTAAGTTATTTCAGTAATTTTCTAGAGAAAATGGAAATGTAACTAAGGCTGACACAGGGAACTTTGGGGGCCTAGTGGAGGAGTGGCGCAGCCAAACCAAAGGCAAGTAGTTCGAATCTACCAACTGTGTGGGAGAAAGAAAATCTCCTTTTGTGTGACTTACAGCCTCTGAAAACCCCCTGGAGGGCCGACCAATGGCACATCACTACAGCATAAAGATGACAGCAGTGAGCTCTACTTTCACCTATATCCGTGGGATGGAGGCAGCAGGAGAGGACGTGTTCTACGGGAATCTGCTCACACACCACAAAGTAAAGGCTCACCTTGGTAAGACGTAGCACCAGTTGCTTGAAATGGAGTATTTCTCAATGACTGCCTTCTTGTTAGCTTCAAAATTCTTTGTAACACTCTCAGGAATATGAAATTCTCTAAGCTTTTAATAGAAATAAAGATTTTAATACATAAGTCCTCAAAACAATTTGGCAAAGGAAAAGATATTTTTAAAAATCCTATTTGTTATGTGTTTCTATCATGTGTATTTATTTATACACATCACAGAGGTAATTGCAATGCAGTCTTATATGACCACTTTCCCAATGCAGCCAGAGTGACCTGCTCACCCTGGCCTCCTCCAACAGTAAATTCTCCTTCAAGTAAACTCTTTACTGCTCATCTCTGAACCTCTATGCTGTAACTCCTTATTCAGTGCTTGTTTTCTGTTTCTCTGGCTCTGTACCAGAGGAAGCTATTTACATTTGTAAACATAGGTTTCTTAACCAAATCCATTTCCTCTGAGTGGTGGATAAGCACTTGACCATCTTTGGGGCAAAGCATGGTGCCAGCCCTTCCATTCTCACCTCCTGGAACCTTCTCCCCTTCTCTAGCTTTCCTCCCCCAGGGCACTGGCACTGGTTTTGCTGTTTACAGTTCACCTGGTCTGGGAGTTTTACAGGAAGGCAGAAAGAGAGACCTCCAGTGAGGTGAAAACAAAGGCCTGAGTGAGAGTGCTCTGTACTGAGACAGAGAGGATGGTTTAACCCATTTCTGCAGCATCTAACTCTATTACTTTTCCAGGTACTCCAGCACAAAGTAATGTGGCTGACTTTTTATTGCCTGGAGTATTCGTAAGTTTTTGAACTCTACACATGCTTAAAACCTTGGCCACTCAGGTTTGTCTGAGTGCTACCATGTCAAGTGTCTGGCCCTCCTTTGAACTCCTACAGCATCTGTGAAGACCAATAGCCCCAGCCCATGAGATGGGGGTGAGGGAAGCAAAACCCTCAAGGCTGTAGTGAGAGGAAGACAAGATATGTTCGTGGTGTTAGGAGGTGAAAGAAAGATAGCAAAGACGTGCAGAGCCTGTTCCAAGCTGGGACAGATCGCACTAGTTGTGACGTACTGTGTTTAAGAGATAAATTGCCTAACCTTTGAGATAAGCAAAGGATGGTTAGGGAGGTGATGGCCACAACCATTAGACTAGATTGTAGGTGGAATGGACAGACTGTGGATTTAGAGACAGGGAGGACCAGGTTCAGATATGCACACTTGGTGGGTTCTCACACAACCTCCGGATGCATCAGTTCCCTCTGAGGATGTTCTACCTTGATTCACAGACTCAAGACAATTGCATAGGTATAGTGCTAATTAACGCAGATTCTTCTATCAACCGGTAAACTGCCCAGCTGTGCTGGCACACTGCAAGATGCAGATAGCAACTGGAACCAAGCTTGTCTTCATTTATGATGGGCCCTCTGGGAACAAACCCATGCTGATAAGCAGGCAGGCGGTAATTACTATTTCCTCCTTATAGTGCCAATCGCAAGACTTGGGACCTGACTTTCTCTAGGGAATGTGGAGATACAAGAGAGATTTTTCTGTGAACCTCGCATTAGAGTAAGAACTCAGTTGACACTGTGAAGGAAAATCAGAGCATAAACAAGAAGAGGGGAAGGGTGGCAACCTGCAGGCCACTTGGATACTATGTATCCTGTAAGAGACCAGAAAAGGGAAGGTCATCTGCTGGAATAACAGGAATGGTGACCGACAGGAGGGAGCCGGTTCCAGAGACCAGGCCAGACAACTGAAGACTGATGGGTATCGGGGGTGAGAAAGAGAACAAATCAAAGACGACAGTAAAGTTTCTAGTGAGGCAATCACTTACTGGCTGTGGATGTCACTGGCCAAAAAAGAAAACACAAAAGGAGGAACAGATTTGGGGTTGAGTAGAGTAACAAACAAATGTGTTCACTTTAGACAAAACTGAGTCAGTTTCCACTTGATGGCACAGACCAACCACTACCACCATTAGTACAGTCACGTGCAAGATTCCAAAACAGAACAGAGAGGGTGCAATTACCCAGAAATATCTGGTTGGTATGAATCTACACAACACATTTATCCAGATGGGGGAGCCTGCTGGAGAACGCTGAAGATGGGATCCTAGGAGAGGGGAAATAGCATTTATTGAGGGATAACTGACACAAAAGACTCTACTCAGACTAATGGAGAAGGCAAGTCCTTCTATTAAGAAGGCAGAAAACGCTATGTGTAAAAATACATTAAGAAATGTTATCAGAATGCCAGTGAAGGCAAGATGATCTTTACCATCAGCTAGAATAATGCTTTCATACTTGATAGTAAAAGAAAAAGAAGACATTCAATGCTGAGACAGACTAAGGTTATGGAATCCTGAATGCCACTGAAAAGGGGTTTACAATCTGGGATGATGTGACCAGACTTATGTCAAACTGATAGTAGTGTCTTCTTTGCATAAAAATAGTTACAACAATAAAATAAGCTTTTAAAGATATGAATTATAATAAACAACAGTGCCAACATTCCTGCTAAAAATTAATAGTACAGTATCAACAATAGGAAAGCTAGTTTTAATACAGTATATAGTAAATATAGGGAGCTCTGAAAGCCTAGTAGGTAAGGAGTTGACTTGTTAACCCAAAGACAAGTGGTTCAAATCCACTAGCTGCTCTGAGGAATAAAAAGGAGGCAATCTTCTCCCATGCAATTTATAACCTCTGGAAACCTGGCAGAGGTCAGCTATGGGCCAGTTCTGACTGGACAGCAATGAGTTTCTGGGTGAGACAGTAAAGACACTGTCAACCCCCACATAAAACTCACTGCTACTGAGTAGACGTCAATCCACAGACACCCTGCACTGGAGTTCTTTTTTTTTTTTTAACTTTTTTTATTTTATTTTATTATTTTTGTGTGAGTGTACCGTCAAATCAGATCTGACTGGTACAGGAGGAGATTGTCCCTCCTTCCCCGGCAGAGCATCTGGTGGATTCAAACCATGCGCCTCTGGGATTGTAGTTGCAGCTCCTTACCACTAGGCCACCAGAGCTCCCCATGCACTGGAGTTCTGAAGCTGAAAATCTTAAAAGGAAGTGACTTCCTATTTTTCTCCCATAAAGACGGTGGATTTGAAACAGTGACCTCTCAGTTAGTCCCCCCCCCCATACAACACCAGGGTTCCCTTTAGTGAATATACTAACACAATGTATAGTAAATACAATAGCTAAGTACTGGCTATAGGATATAATAGCAGAAAAATCTGTACTACCTCAGGAGGTGGCAGTCTAACGGTACACACCTCTATACTTAGACAAACCTGGGTTTCTGTCACGTTGATGTCTAATACTGAAAAAGAAAACAGTTAACTGTGAATTGTGTAGAACTACTACTAAATCCTATCAAATTAAGTATTTTTGTAACAAAGAAATTACTCTCAATTTATCCAAGCTAGAAATTAAAAGATCCTCCCCACCCCGCAACAGAGAACAATTCAAACAATCACTGTATAATGCTTGATAATCTGCAGCTGAGATACAGCAAACAGCACAAAATATGAATAAGGGTGGATGGGTGGGTGCGTGTGTGAAGGAAGAGATTTTGATTTACAGAGTGAGGCTAAATAAGAATGTGAGACAGCTGAGAAAACCCCAGAAGCACCTTATATCACATGTGGAAATATAGAGACTGATCTCACCATGACTGACTGGAGTAGTTCCTTGACTGACAAGTGTCAAATACACTGGCAGATCTAGTCCAGATGTTCTACACCCCTGGGGCTTCTCCCTTGCTTTTAGGTAATTAAAATGGTTCTGTGGCAAATCTTGTTAGGTGCCATCGAGTCGACCACGACTCCAAGCGCTCTATGGACAGAAGATCTGAGCCCTGCCCCAGCCTGCAGCAGCCTCACCATTTCTGACATGCTCAAGGCCATTACTGCAGTCACTGTGCCAAGCTACCGGGTTGGAGTTTTCCCCTCTAGATAGTGGGAACCTTTGGAAAGGGCAGAGCCTGGAAGAGAGCCCAAGGGTAATGTAATGCTCTGTTTATTGATTTGAGAACTGGTTACAGGGATATGTTCAGTTAGGGAGAATCCAGTTAGCCACATTTTTCTTTATTATACTACATTTCAATAATTGAAAAGCAACTTAACATAAGGGTGAATAACTTTTCTCATGTAAATGGTCATCTTACGTCTTTTCTAGCTGCAGTCTGAGGATGAGAATGAATTTACATAAGAAGCCAATGGGCCAGGGGCAGGGGGTGGGCTGTGGGAGCAGAGTGACAGCACTGCGCAGCTTAACCCCACACCAGACTGCACAGGGTGAAGAGGCTTCATGGAGACAGATGTAGACCTAACAGCTGTGGCTAACTGTTCAGGGTTGGTTCAGTGTGTTGCTTAGAAAACTGCTGGCCTTCCATACAGCCTCATATATCAAGCAAATATTCTAAAAGATCACATAATAAACTAGATACTATTTTAGATTATCTGCACTCCTTCAGACCTCTTCCTTTCTTTATTGTTTTTCAAACAAGCTCTGACAGTTTTATTGAAGAAAAATATGATTTCTTTTTCACCAGTCTGTTCTGGCATGCTTCTAATGATACCAGGGTGCATATTCAATAGTATTTCCCACATGCTATGTCCAATATTATTGGCATTGGAGTGATGGACACCTATTTCAGATTTCCTCATGAGTGGGCAGTTGTTAAGAGGATGACCACCCTGGCTTTTCAGTGCTTGCTCTTGCTCATCTTCAGAGGCTGCTTGTACCCAAACATGTATTTCCCACTTTTCATAACAATCTGGAATTTAGAATTTAGTAACTCCAGATATCCGCACCTCCCCCTCCATTTTGAAGCTACCATTTCCCTGCCTTAGGTGCGGTTCAGCCCTCAACCAACAGCTGCTGACAAGATAACCCAAGAAGGGTAAAGGAAGGTCTAAAGCACAGGTCTAACGACAGACCTACTCAAGGGAACGTCACCAAGGCCAGAAGTGTGTTTTATCATTATCTTTAAAGAAGAGTAGTCACATTTTCTAGTAAAAAACAAAGCTTTTACTTACAACAGTGCTGAAGAATATTGATGGCATGATCCCACAAATTAAGCATTATAAATACCTGAAAAATTAAGCTCTTTCATTGTCATACTTTTCTTTAGAAAAAATGAAAATGTATTTTTCCTTCCAATTATGATGAATGAAATTTTTTCTCAGTTATGGAGAGATGTATTTTGAACCACATATAATTTCCCAAGTGGAAACTCTAAGTTATAAGAATATCTGTTAATTCTGATATAACCTAACTATCAAAATTATAACCCTGTAACTCTTTTTAAAATAAGAATAAATTATATTAGTGATTTCTCTACTGATCTACGGATAAATACCTCTTTACTTACCAACCGCATTTTGCTTTCCCATCTGAGAAAGAAAATCTTTTCCTTAAAAAATTAACAGGATGTGAAAAAAAATTAATAGGCTAGTCTTTATTATTACAACTGATAAATCATGCTTGGAAAGAAAACTTTAATGTAAAATTATTAAAGGCAAGGAAAATGCTTTAACATGTAGTTGTTAAATATGAAATTCTTCCCTCAAATATAATCTCCTGCTATAAAATACTTAACAGTCATATCTGCAAACAAAATTCCAAGAATGCCTTTAGAGTTCAACAATATTGGCAATGACTATTTTTCTATAATGCTTCATAACTTAAATGTATATCATCCTAAGTGCCAAATATTACACAACAAACAGTTAAAAAGGAAAAAGAAACATCAACAGTTTCAGAATATCATCCTCAACTAGAGAGATGACATTGCTATGGGTTAGCTTGCAAATGCTTGCCTGGGACCCTGCTCCAGAAGTATTTCCTAGTCTTAGCATTACAAACAAATGAACACAAGACAGCTAATCTAGGTCTCAAGGCATCCAGGACTAAGAGATGTTACCTTGCACCAAGAGGTGGCCAGTTTGATTCCAGGCTGGCGCAAGTCTCATTTTGATCGAGTATGAAAGGCAGGTTTGGAGAATTATAGGAATGACTCTTTGTGGTGCCTCCACCTAAAAGTTTTAAAGACAAAAATGCTGGAAAAATTAATGACTGGCCTATCCCTATGAACTGAAAGCAAACATGTCTGAGTTCAGATCACCATCAGGCAGCTGTGCTACCTCTGATATATATTCTAGTAATCTCTCATGTCGAAGTACCCTCAACTCATCCCATATGGGGGTGAGTTAAAGAGGCAGAGAGATATTCACTGTGGAACCAAGACTCTTGCCATGGTCTCACAATCAGATGTCACCTGCCTCCCTGGCCTGATAAGCCAAAATCTATAATGCAGCTGTTCTAAGACTCTGAGTCACCTTGTACTCTGCACCACACACAGCGAATCAGACCAGAACTGCTTGAAATGTTTTTATAATGTTCTAATGCAACAACATTGAGGGGGTGGGGTGGGGTGGGGAATCAATCATTAACATGGGTACAGATGCAACCAATTAAAAAAATGAGGACACTGTGAGCAATACTAAGTTAACAGGGACCAGGTCTAACCTTTTACCTGAATGACTGAAAACGGGACAGATCCTGTGAAAACATTCCCGAGACACTGGCCACCAGGCTGGAAATGACTGCTTAGAGGTGGGAGACAAAGGAGATCACTCTGTGATCACCCTGAGTGGGTTTCTAACCACAGCGAAGGAAGGGCCTTTCAGACACACTGTGACCTCCCTGGGTCAGCACAGGTGAAAGCCAGAGTCTGGGGGACCGAGCCCTGCACTATGAGGTTGTTGATGAGTCTTCCTCTAATCCTGATGCCATACTCCTCCTTAATTAAGCCAATGGAATGGCAAGAAGGTACCCAGTAAAAAGGAAGCCCTTCCCTTTTGACATCTAAATGTGCACAAAATAACTGGGGAACAATGTTCATAGGCATGTCAATAAATTAGGAGACATGTACTCTAATTTTCAGTAGTAGAAAAAACACACTGCATACAAAATCAATAAAAATAATATCTGAATCCATAGCCACTGGTGAGAGTCAGCGCCCAGAGCCATCAGGGGCTTTAAGCTCATTGCCCACTACTGTGGTGTGGACAGCTGAAACCCAGGCCCCGACAGGCACCTGGCGGGGGGGGGAACCCAGACTCTACTTCATGCTCTGCTGGAGAAGGAGGGGCAGTCTCCTGTACCAGTCAGATCCAATTTGACGGCGCGCGCACACACACACACACACACTTTTTCTTTTTTTAAAAAAAAAGACTACTTCAGCCATCGCGGCCCTCTGCCTGGGGCAGGCTGCCCTCGGCCCCCGGCCCGGGGCGAGCCATCGCGGCCCTCTGCCCGGGGTGGGCTGCCCTCGGCCCTCTGCCCGGGGTGAGCCGTCGTGGCCTTCTGCCCGGGACGGGCTGCGCTTGGCCCCAGGCTCAGGGCGAACCGTCGCGGCCCTCAAGAGCAAGAAGGCAAGCAGCTGTCACCCAAGACCACCAGTAAGGTGATAAAGTGTCCTCCCTTCCCCCCTTTATATCTACGCCCCTGTTCAGCATGAAGAAGCCAGAGAGTCGGCATCCAATTCCCAAATCAATAAGACAGTTGGTTTAATTACTATTGGAAAATGCTTGTCATTCCTCTGTAGCATCTGGTCCCCACTGGACCCTCATCATTTCCTTCACCTGCTCCCCCCACCGACCAAACTGTGCAGCTCTGCAACTGCATCCTGGCCCATCCTCACCCTTCTGCCCCCAACCCTCATCTCCTTGTACCCCCAATATGTTTTTCCCAATAAAAAAAATTTTAAAAAAATTAAAAAAAATAATATCTGAATAAAACAGCTTTTAAAACATACCTTAGCACCACATTTTTCGACATAGGCATTAAGCTTTCCAGCTTTAAAAAATGGTATCTATGAGAAAAATCCACGTTTTAATAAGAATGTAATCATAAATACATTATTAAAGAATGTAACACTAAGGAATTTATACATTATACAACAGAGGACCATCATCCTCAAAGAATGATCATGGATTCCTTGAAATAGAATCTGAGCACACAGTCTCAGCATGATGCAAGCCTTGCTAAGAGTGCCACAGACCCCAAAACCACATAAAGGAAAAGGTCAATACATTTCATATCACAAGCATTTTCTGCTTTTCATAATATACAAGAATCTCTTATGTATGAGAAGGTCTGATAAACAGTAGCTCAAGTTGTTGTTAGTTGCCATCAAATACAACCCATAGTGACCTTATGAACAAGAAACCTGAAGCCTGTCCTGTCCTGTGCATCCTCACAATCTCTGACACACTCGAGCCCACTGCTGCAGGCACCGTGTCAATCCAGCTGGTAAAGGGTCTTCCTCTTTTTTTGCCAACTCTCTACCTATTCTAGCTTGATGTTTTTCAAGAAATAACCTCCCTGAGTGACATGCCCAAATTATGGGAGACAAAGCTTTATCAACTCTGCTTCCAAGAAGCACTCTTAGCTGCACATTCTCCAAAGCATAGCTGTTTGTTCTTTTGGAAGTTCATTGGATATTCAGTATCCTCCTCCAACACCAAAGGCATCAATTCTTCTGTCATCCTTCTTCACTGCCTAGCTCTCAGATGCTTAGCAAACGACTGAAAAGACCATGGCCTGAATCAGGCATACCTAAGTCCCCAAACTGACATTCTCCTCAATAATTTGGAGAGATCCCTGACTTTCCCAGTGCAATATTACTTCTGATTTCCTGAATGCTAGTACCAAGGGTGTTGAAGTTCAAAGTGCCAAGCACTAATTAAAGAAACTATGGGGTGTATATATTTTAAGATGGCTTTTCCTAGCCACAATTTGACATTGCTGTGTATATGATCAGTAATATGTGAATGGGGGTGTTATTCTATGCACAAGGGAACTGGCTATCTACCATTTCACAAGGGGATTAGCCAGTCTTAACAATCTCTAAGGGTACTGGCCAGTTCTACCACTGAATTAAGCAAGCTAGCATCAAGAGGCAAACAGATCTTCTGGTACCACTGAAGAGGAAGCAAGACAATGTAGGATGTCCTTCCTACTCTAGCTAAACCTACAGCAGCAACACCTAAGGCTGAACTGGAGACTTGATATGAGATAGGACCTGGAGGAGGGGAGAGCCAATAGTGGTAGGACTGAGAACTCTGTTGGATAACTGGGATTGGGAAGCAAACAATGGCAGGACTGAGAATTTAGGAACACTGGCCTGAAGGTGAGAGGATCAAGGCTGATGCACCTGCGTGCACATTTCAGAAGCTATCTTGACTGTATTCTGTTATTAATCTGAATTATAACCTTTTGGCTTCCCCAATATGGTTTTATGTGGTTTGTATCAGATACTGAACCCTGCCAAAACAGGAAGAGTGGTGTTGTGATGAGTAGAAAGAGGTAATGGGAGCATGAGGGTAAATATCTGACCCCATGGGAATTTGTTTTATGTTATGACCCTGTTAATGGGGATAGTTTCCCTTGGTAAAGCTGGTAAAGGTCAGCTATGGCCATCCTCACGTGGCCTTTTCTCTTTTTATAGAAACAGAAATTAAACATAAGATACAATTTTCAACATAACTGGTTACCAACTAGTTTTAAACTTCTAATATCCAGTATTTTTGAGGGTATAAAAAAGATTCTTTCATGCATTAAATCTACTCTTTACTTATCAACATGATCAAGTTCCAAAGACCAACACTTCATGTGAGAATCAGCACTGGACAAAAATACAAGGTAGTCACATCAGATCACAAGTGGAGGATCACTGTGGAAATACCAAATTACACCATTAAATAATCTCCAAATGACTGTGAATCATGGCCCTGTCACACAAACACAGTACCTTAACCTCAACAAACAGCATCACTCTCAGCTGTTGGACAGAAATTTTTTACTATGGTTATAAATGTGAAGTGTTAGATGTTGGATAATGAAACAGTAAGCAAAGAGTAGGTGTATGTATAAAGAACAATTTAGAATGTAGAAAGGAGTTGTGCTGTTATCCCAAAGAAATGAGGTTTGAATTCACTAGCTGTGTTTTTTATATACTGTGTTCTTCCAATATTGGCTTGTTGGGGAATTTTTTAGATTTTTTTTTAAGGATGGACAATTTCTTCCTGTGTGATAAATTTACTGGAGGGTCAGCTATAAGTTGTTCCAACTCTATGGTACATACCAACAAGTTAATAGTTTAAAATGTGTTGTAATTCCACTTCTACTAATAGAAACCTGCCACCTAAAGGTAATAAAGGAGATCAGAATTGCTTCCACTGTGGAAAGCTGGGCCACTTCAGTAGACAGTGTCACAGATGGGAGCCACAGATAGGCAAGGGAGTAGAGAGGAAGCTCCCACTCACTTGCTTTAAGTGTGGCTCTGAAGGACACTTGGCCAAGGTGGCCCACATCAGGTCCTCGTAGCAGACAGGACTGACAGGCCCCAGCTCCCAGCTGGAAACAAAGGAGGACACTTCAACTATTTAGATCCTCCCAGAAGAGCTGTGGGTGAGCATTAACATTACTGGTAAGTATATTCATTTTTCTCCTGGACACAGAGCCTACTAATTGGTCCTAAAAGCCTTCTGAGGTCCCAACGCTTCTCACTATTTCTTAGTTGTTGGAATGGACGGAAAACCTCATAAGCAGTTCCTTACTTCACCTCTACCTTGCATGCGAACTTCCAAGTTGTAAAACAACCCAGTGCTAGATGGAATTTGCTCCAGGACTTAAGAACCATAAATGACATAGCTGAGCCTCTACATCTTGTGGTTCCTAACCTCTACACTATAATAGACAAAATGCTAGTCTATAGGCCTTTTATTGCAAGAACCACCTTCCCTCTGTAACTTGATTTGTGCCACTATTAGAACCTCTACTTGGAATATTATTGCTTTTTAATTTTTGACTTATGTACTTTTAACTTGTTAAATTTGTGTCTTCTAGGCTGCAACACTTCCATGATACATCTTCAAGGATATGTACATGTACGGCTAAGCACAACTGATAACAGTACATCTAAATTCAAAAATCAATCTCCATAATAGTCTATATGTTTCCTACTGCCAAAGGGGCCCTTTAGAGTAGTGAGAGAAGATCTTCACACTGAAACCCACAGTGTCCCTTTTCAGCAGGAAGTAGCTAAGAGAATACGCCATCCCCTTTTCCTTATAAATCAGGGTGAAGTCTCTCTCAGGGAGGAGTGATAGGGAATGGCAAAGGACACACTGACAAAGGAGATTAATCAGAACTGGCTTTGACAAGCACTGTGGCAATTGGACATTTAAAACAGACATTCGGAGGGGGGAGAAGAATGAACTGGGGAGGAGGGTAGAGAAAACAGTGCAACAATGAATGAAAACCCAAAATCTCTGTAAATGTTCATTAAAACTAATAAAATTTAATAATAATGAAAAAAAGAAACCATGGAAATGAGCAAACAAGTACAAAAAAGATATAATTTCAATGATGCTTTCTGAAATACCAAAATAGCACAAAGCTATACATCTAGATGTGCATTTAAAAAGTGTTAATAATTTATCAATGCTCATACAATGAAATAGTGAGCCCTGGTGGCTTAGTGGTAAGGAATTGTGCTGCTAATCCAAAGGTACATGGTTCAAACCCAGCAGTTCTACAACAGAAAGATAGGCAATCTCCTCCTAGTGTAATTAACTGCCTCTGAAAACCCACTGGAGGGTCAGTTATGTTTCAGTTTCAACCGACCGTACCCAACAATAAACAATAAGCAATAAACAAGCATCAGTCATGCCAAAGTTAAAGTCTATTAATGGTTCAAACAACAAAAATATGGTTATTCCTTTGGAGTCATCTTTGAGCTAAGTTTAATACCTGCATTAGTGTTTATTGATACTTCTCCCAGTAACTGTTAATAGTAGTTCATAAAATACTAAAAATAATACTAACCGCCATCACCACCCAAATCTGGTTTAAAATCCCAGCCACAGGTGAAGAAAGAATATCCTTGTGCAGAAGCAGCAATTGCCTGTGGAGATGAAATGGAATACAATATGGTCATTAAAAACAGTATTCTTAACAAATTTTTGCTCAAATGGCAAAAAAAATCTGGATGTGTAGAAAACAGTAAACACATCAGGACCTCTATATTTTTGTACATTTTGTACAAAACTGTCAAGGATCCAGTCAAAAATGTTAGAAATGTTTACTCCTTGGTTTGGGAATTAGAAGTGATTTTTTTTCTATATTCTAAATTTTGTATATGATCATGTCTTGAGAAAATCAGTGATGAAGGCAGAGTACCTCAGGAGAAAATATTTTAGATGTTAAGAGATTAAAACAAGATTGCCAACACAAAGGTAGGCAGGTTGAATCCACCAGTCTCTGAGAGAAAAAGAAGGGCAATCTCTCCCATGTAATTTATCACCTCTGAAAGGTCACTGTTTGGCTATAAATGGTTTCCAACTAACTTACAATGAATGAAGCTCATGACTCATAGCGACCCTATGAACAAAAGGCCTGAAGCTCCTCTACAACTATTGACATTTATCAAAGTTCATAGAGTTTCTGGAGGCATGTTATTTAAGAAGTGGATGCCACTCCTGCTCCAAACCTGTCATCGTATGTTTTTATGTGCCATTAAGTCACTTGTGACGTATAGAGACCCTGTGTACAACAGGTGTGAACCCTTCTCTGTCCAGAGCCAGTCTCACTAACTCTAACACAACCCCCATCACCCCAGTTACTGTATCAATATATCTCATTCTGGGTATCACTCTCCTGTGCTGTCTGCCCACCCTTCTGAGCATGATGTCCTTCCCCAAGGACCGATCTCTCCTGGCCATGTGCCCAAAATAAGTGAGATGGAGCTTCAAAATCCTAGCCTTCAAGGAAAGACTTGGTTTCACCCTTTCCAAGATAGACCTATTTGTTTTCTTGGCAGTCCATGGTATGTTCAAGAATCTTCTCCAGCACCACTACTCAAAGGTATCTGTTATTCTTCTGTCATCCTTAGTCATTGTCCAACTCTCTGAAGCATAGTAAGTAATTGAAAAGACGATGAGCTGAATTAGGCACACCTTTTTATCTAGACTGACGTCGCTGCTCTTCAGTACTCTGGAGAGGTCCAGGAAAGCAGATTTTCCCAATGCAATTCGTCTTTTGAAGTGACTGGTGATCATACTGAGAAGTGGTTGGGGAAGGGAGGGTTTGACCAGATTGTGCAAGGAATGGGGAGGTAGCAGGGCTTTCCCTGAGAGACAAGCCACATGTGCCTTGGGGTGGGTGGGCAGTAAATGTATTGGTTATTTCTGTAAGGGAAGTCTCTTTCCCCTACTAGGTAAAATACTTGTCTGTAAAATATTCTTCTAACAGTGAACATCCAAATTAAGACAGACTAGGAAGGAGGACTGGCCATCCATTTCTGAAATACAACTGGCCTTTTAAAACCCGATGTACAGCAGAGCACTCACATGCAGTGCTCAGTGAATTATTTTTCAGTGTAGCCTAGTAGTCCATCATGTGACTGTATAATAGTTTCACTATCCAATTATTTGTTGACAGGGATTTGGGTTGTTTTAATCTTTGTTACTGTAAATAACAAAGGGTCTGCAATAAACATGTGTCTGCATAGATCTGTTCCTATGTCTGCTCTTATTACTTAGGTTATATGACTAGCAGTGGAATAGCTAGGTCAAATAACATTTTCATTTTCAATTTTTTAAAGAAAAAGCCAAACTTCTTTCCATACTGGTTTCATCATTTTATGTTCCCACAAGCAGTGTATAAAAGTTCCAATCTCTCCATACCTTGGTCAGCATTTACTATTTTACTGAAGCAGGGAGATACACTAATCCAAAAACCATCCTCTCTGGTGGTTTAATCCAGAAGCTCCGGGGTGGGGGGGAATTGCAATTTCCTTCTGTGTGATTTACAGCCTCAGCAAAAATCCAAGAAGGGCTTGAATAACTAATGCTCTTGAACACTTATGTGTTTGTTGGCCATTCTGAATGTCTTCCATGAAGAAGTGTCTTTTCATATTTTCTCTCCATTTTACTATTGGGTTGTTTGTCTTTCTTTATGTTGAGGTGTTGGCATTTTCTACAAATTTTAGATACAAATCCTACAATAGATATGTTATTGCTAAATATTTTTTCCTATTCTCTAAGTTCTCTTTTGGAAAAAAATATGCACATTAGGATTTAATTTTTCTTTTTATTTACTGGTTTAATATTTAGAAGGTCCCGTTCATCTAGTTTTATCTTCTCTTGATTATATATTTTTGTTCAGCATCAGGACAACAAAAATCCTCACCACTGGGCCAAACGGCAACATCATGAATAGATGGTGGAGTTCTGAAATTGTTAATGATCTTATTTGGACTCACATTCAACACTCTTGGTGCCAACAGTCAAGAAACCAGAAGATATATTTCACTGGGGATATCTGCTGTCAAGGAACTCTCCACAGTACAGAGGAGTAATGTCAGGTTAAATCACTTGCTACACATCTGAGAGCCAGACAATGAATAAGGATAACAGAAAAACTGATGTCTTTGAGTTGTGGTGTTGCAGAAGAGTACAGAATATCCATCCCAAGGAATGCCAAAAGAATGTCTTGGAGAAAGTGCAGCCCAAGTACTCCTTAGAGGCAAGGATGACAGAGCTTGGTCTCACATATTTTGGACATGCTGTTAAGAGAGGCTATTCCTTGGAAAAGATTATCATGCATGGAAAGGTGAAGCAAGGGTCGACGAAAGAGAAGACGACCCTCAACAAGATGGATTGGTACAGTGTCTGTGGCAATGGGCTCAGGTGTTAGGGATGATTCGACTGGCACAGGATAGGACAAGGTTCAGATCTATTTTCAAATGGTCACTATGAGTCATACTCGACTAGTTAACACTTAACAACAACAAAGAGAAATTTCTAAGTTTTGTGGAAAGAGCCCTGGTGTCATTGTGAGAAGCTGATTACCTACAAGTGAAATGTCAACAATTTGAATTCATCAGCTGCTCCAACAAGAAAGAGGAAGCTGTCTCCTCTGGTAAATAGTTAGAACTTCAGAAACTCAATGGAGGATCACTAGGAGTCAGAATTAATAGTAGTGAGTAGATGGTGACATTTTGGGGACTCTTGATTTAATTAATATAGAAATTTTAAATTAAAAAAAATTACACTTAAAGTCACAAATATAAAACTTCAACTCTTGAGTTATTTCCATTTCAGGCATTCTAAGCTGTTCTCTAAATGTAATCAAATATACCTGGTAAGAGTAAACTAAAATAATCTTAAATTATATGCATAGATTGTGTGAGTAAATATTTTACTTTAAAAGAAATATTTTTTGAATAAAATTCTTTAATTGTGATTTTAACAAAAGTTTACAGAAAAGTTAGATTTTCAATTCATTCATTGTTGCACATTAAGAAAATACAGATACAGTTTACGTCTAAGGTGAAAATTTATATAGCACAGTTCCATTTAATAATTTTTATACAAATTATTCACTGAGGCTGGTTACTTTTCCATAATTTGTCATTATTTTTATTGACTACATTCTCACGATACGATTCTAGTACTGTAGAATCTCTGACCCCTTACTGTTTCATATTTGCTTTAGAGTAATTTTTGCTACTTAGAGAACTTTTAAAAGAAGACTATTACTCACAGGTAATACCCTTTATTTTGTCAGGCAATCTGCTATCTACCTAAAAGATGATCTTGAGGTATAGTTTAGGTTCAAGGTTAAAGCATAACTCAGGGCAATAGCCTCGAAAAGTTCTCAAGCTTCAACTAGCTCTCACTGAAATTTTCAAAAATGTAAGGTTCTGTTCCACTTTTCCTGTTCTACATGAATTCACTAAAAGAGATGCTTCTAGCAATCTGGTGCTTCCTCGAAAAGCTGAAGGTAGAAATTCCATATATCCCAGCTATTCCACTGCTTGGAATATACCCCAAGAAAATGAGAACTGAGGAACAAATGGAGAGTTGTACACCAATGTTCACTGCAGTATTATTCACCATCACAAGAACATGAAAACAGGCCAGATGTCCAACCATAACTGAATGGATTGAGAACATTCATACAATGGAATACTATACAGCACGCAAGAACAATGATTTTGTAAATGAGTACCTTAATTGTGAGGGACTGGAAAGCATTATGCTGAGTGAACTAATTCAGTCTGATAAGGACAAATACTACACAAAAACATTATTATAGAATGAGAATGAAGATCCAAGGGTGGGGATAGAAGTAGAGGTGTGAGGATGTACGGGGTTGGGGGTATCAATCACAGAGGTTATACAATTTGATGGGTGGGGAGGGTTAGGGAAATGGAAAAGGACTCAAGTGGGAAATAATGTATTTGAATTTTATTATTAAACTAACATAATAAAAAAAACTGAGGGGGGGGGGAGAGATGCTTCCAAAACAGCTCTTCTGGGTCAAATGTTTTAAAAGCCTTAATTCTAAATTGCCTTATTACCTGCACATCTTCATCTGCACAGTCTTAATCTCAGTGTCTGCTACATTTTTACTCAGTATTATCCTGACTGCACAGAGTTTGCTTAAATCTGGAAGAGTGATGAAGAACAGGGACTGTGGTCTGGAATCACTCATTTTTCTGCTGATGGCAAGTCTTCTTAACCAGACCTTTAAAAACAAACAAACAGCAATGTAACAGACTGTCTTACCAATAGGGCTTTCAATACCAACCTAGCAGAGAATTTTGATATTTTATAATGAAATAATTAAAAAATTAGCAAGTAACAGTGGTTAAACATCAGTATTTAATTTTTAAGGTTTTCTAATTGTGAAGATGATAGAGGATAGGGCAAGGTTTCAATCTTCTGTTCACACGGTTGCCAGGAACTGGAGTCTATGTGTTGGCATCTCACAGCAACAACAATGAAAGCATAGATTTTTAAACTATCTCTTCTACACCACAGAGCCATCTGTGATGTCAAGGGTTTATTTTCTGAAATGGCTTTCCTAGCCATTGACTTTGCCACATGGATGAGTGGGATTATAAACAGGGTGTGTTGGACTAACAACAGAGGACTTGGCTAGTCCCTTCATTCCACTGGGTTTAAACTAGCTGTTTCAGTAGCATATATTGAGAATCCCAACACCAACAAGGAAGAGGAAGCAGCGCACATCCTTCAGGGCCAGAGATTCTTGTGCTAGCCAGATCAGGATCTATACAAGAGTAATAGCAGCCTCAGGAGAGAACCAGAGACCAACATGAGTCACAGCCAGAGGCTTCCAACTCGAGCCTGCTGGTGGACTGAGGAAAGATACTATAACTGGCAGGACTATGGGACCTTTGTAACACTGACATAAGCGAGTCTGAAGGTCAAAAGGCCTGCAACCCTGCTTGGCACGCTGTCTGGACTGAGGGACTCTATGCTGCTGCCAACCTGAATTACAGCCTTTTAACTTCCCTGATAAACCCCATAATGGTGGGTTTGCTTCTGTGAAGTCTATGTGGTCACTGCAATGGATTTCGGACTCTGCAGAGCAACACGACCAGTGTTGGAATTAGTAGAAATAGATGCAGAAGTATGTGGGGACCATATCTGACCTTATGGGAATTAGTTTTGTACTGCAAATGTTGTTGATGGAGGCAGTTGCCTGCTGTGTGGGAGAAGTCAGACTTGGCTGTTCTCATGCTGCCTTCATTCTTTTTATACCATCTGAGTAAAAAGAAAATGGTAACAACTATTGTTTATCATTGTGTTGTTAATGAAGACTACTGAATGTAATGTGGATAGACATTATGAGGTGGAAAAACACTGACAGCAACTGACAGCATGACTTTGCTGAGGGAACTAGATAGGGTGTATTTCTACCACACCGTGATTAAAATATTATTACTCAAGTTCGTAGGAAAGGAGCCATGATGGCCCAGTGGTTAAATACTGCTGCTAATTCAGAGATTAGTGGTTTGAAATCATTAGCTGCTATGAATGATAAAGATGTGTCAGAAAGATTCACAGCCTTGGGAACCCAGGGGCAGGGGCAATTCTGCTGTTTAACAGGGATGCTGTGAGCTATAAACAACTTGACAGTAAGGGTTCTGGTAAAGTTATTTTTAAGTTTAATTTTGTTCTCAAAATACAAAGTACTTCTAATGACAATAATTTTTAAAACCATATATATATATATACATACACATACATACCAAGTTCTTCTGATATTTCAGATTATTTCTATTAAACACTGCAAAGTGTATACATTAAATTATTTACTGAGATTTTGAAATTGTAACCTACTTTTATTTTCCAATGAATTATCTGGTTTTTAAATCCCTACCTGTGGCACATCTAACAGTTGATAACTCACAAGAATATACCTTTAAAGTCTATATAGTACATGTGAGAAAATACCATTAGGATGTAAAAGTAAACCTATTTAAGGTCAAGTACTTTATCATATATAAATACATTATGGGAAAGTAACTTAAAATGTTTTAGGCTTGTTGACGACAACATCTTTTCTTTTATAAGATGAATAATCACTTACTAACTCAGAGTATGGACTGTTACGGGTGGTAAATCTAGGCTGAACACCGAATGTCTTCCTAGTATTATTTACTGAGGAATGCTCATAATGCTCCTTGCTCTCAGATGTTTGTCAAGTACACCACAGTGTTTGAAATTTTCATCACTAGAGAACCACTTTGTGTTTTAAAAAATGGGAGTACTTATGGAGTGGTTAACATAAATTCCTACAGGGGGTTGAATGATTTCAGCAAGATGGGCTCTGACATTATGAAAACATTTTCCTTCCCTATCTGCTGTTTGTGTTTCTGTTCCTTCCTGCCTCAGTCTAATGTAACCACTCTATTTACTGTAAATCCAAACCTCTAAGGATTTTAATAAGGCAGAATTATCAGCAGATCTGTAAAGACAGGATCAGTTTTAATGGACTAAAGGTAGGTCTCCTCAGGAGTGTGGCCTACGTGGTATTTATATTTGGACTTTGTGGCAAAGAAAGCTTTTTGTCAGATCTACATCTGGCTATCTAGTTCATGGCCTTTGGACTTTTACCTGTAGCCTGCCATGCTTATTTACTTTGGACTCAGCAGTATCCATAACCAATCATTTGTGACCTTGCTTCCCAGTAACAAAGAGTGGATGTGCCTGACTCTGAAGCTGGTAGCCTCTAAAGACTCAAAACCCTATACTCCCTGACATTTCCATCTCAAGTTCTGACAAATGCCTGAGCCATTTCCTTGAAATAATTAACTGTACATATAAATACAAGCCTTTCATTGATTTTACTTCTCTAGAGAACCCGGTTCAAGATCAACTCAGTTAATTTACAACTGACCATCCCAAGCAGCTTTCAGAGGTTGTCAACTGAGGGAAGGAGCCTGCCCCCCTTTCTCCTACGGAGCAGCTGGTGGATCTGAACCATCTGCCTTTGAATTGGGAATATCATTCTTTACCCACTAGGCCACCAAAGCTCCGCCAGTATAAGGCAGTCAGTAAGAAATTTCTGTGAACAGCCTTCTTCACTGATTAAAAAAGAGTTCTCCAGAAACAGGCACGATTTTTTTAGAACATGTGTAATTGGCAAAAACTGCAGACTGAAAACTTTTTATTTTCCTAGGTTGTATAAGGACTGTATTGTAAGCTCAAGCCATGAGCCTTAAGACTTTGGGTGAATTACCGACTCATCACCCAGGGAACAACTTGTGTATGTTTGTCCCGGTAACTCCCTTTGTTGGCAAAGACCAGCCACACAAATGATAAGTTGGTCCAGACTGTATGTGAAGGCTCACAATTCCCGACGTCAACAGGAGCCATGGCGAGGTTCTGGACTCTCCAGAGCTTTACTTTTCTTCCAGTGGGAAGGGCACAGAGTGGAGGCCAGCAGCCCGGGCTTCTGTAGGACATCACTGTCCTGATGTGGTGGTGAAAGTGGACAGACACACATACACGGCCTCGAATTCCCTCTGCTGTCATCAGCAGCCACGGAATGGGCCTGTGGTCCTCTGTGGATGTCGTGTGTCACGTTGCACTGCTGCTGGTTTGACGGGAGGAAAGCAAGGGCCTGTGCTCCAGGTGACCCGGCTGCTCGGCCTCGGATGCTGACCAGGAGGGAAGGCAGGTGCCGGACGGGGCTGTGTTAGTGGTGGTTCTTCAGTGTCCGCGAGTCCAGTACGACTCGGAGCCTCCCTGTGAACAGACGCCAACCTTGTCCTGTCCTGGCTCTCGGACTCTCAGCTCGTGTCGGCGGTCACTGTCAGGCCCCTGGGCCGAGGGTCTTCCTCTCCTTCACGGACCGTCCACCTTCCCAGGTTCGCGTCCCGGTGCTACGGCAGGATCACGAGCCCCGAGGGCGTGGGATGAGGGTGTCCAGCCTCGTGAGCCCCGTGCTAACAGATGAAGGGTGTCCAGCTCGGGTCCTTGTGCAGGACCATCCTCGCGAGCCATGAGCTAACAGGTGTGGGATGAGGGTGTCCAGCCTCGCGAGCCCCGTGCTAACAGATGAAGGGTGTCCACATCCTTGTGCAGGACCAGCCTCACGAGCTATGAGCTAACAGGTGTGAGATGAAAGGTGTCCAGCTCGGGTCCCTGTGCAGGGCCAGGCTCCCCGAGCCCCGAGGGTGTGAGATGAAGGGTCTGCAGGTTCGCGACCCTGTGCAGGACCAGCCTCGCGAGCCCCGTGCGAACGTGTGAGAACGTGTGAGATGCAGCGTGGTCCCGGGTCCTCCTCCAACGCCCACCCCGCCCGTCCGTCCGTCCGCCCTTCTGCAGCGCTGTCAGCCGTGGTCACTGTCCGGCTCCAGCCCTGCCGTGTCCACGGGGAGTCACTGCGCCTGTCCGCGTGGCCGCTGCCCGCGGGGGACAATCCCGGGGACCAAGGCTCAGTGGTCAGTGGAGCGGGCTCTTCGGGTGGCCAAGCCACCCCGGGACGGCGCCCCCGAGACCCGCCCGTGGAGCCCCAG